TGCAGCCTGTTCCTCCCCCCCCCCGCAGCAGCAGCGGCAGGGCAGGACCCGGGGCCGAGCTACCTGTTTTGGAGGGCATCAAATGGGGTCTGAACAGAAACGTGAGGCATTGGGCACCCTCTGCCAGGGCGGTGGCTGGGTGGCCAGTGTCCCCATGGGCACCCCACTGCAACAGGGACAGGGATGGGGGGATGGAGCAGCCGGGTCATGAACACCCCCTGGCAGGAGCAGGCATCTGGGATGGGAGCTTCATAGGTGGCTTTGCTCCTGAAGCAGCAACTGGGGTAATTACACCCTGCAGCCTGGCACAGGGTGAAATTCAGAGTCTGCGGCAGGGGTTGGAGACATGGCTAGGGCAGTGAGGGGGCTGATGAAGACAAAATGCTTGGAGGGAAAACAAAGCAGCAGGATTTCAAAGGCAGGAGCCTTCCCCAGAATTTGCATAATGACACTGACTTGGTGTGGGAACGGGAACGGGGACTTGGTCTGCAGTGGCCTTGGTGGCAAACTGGCGTCAGTATTACGGGTGCATATATGTCTTCCTGTGGAGCAAGTTGGTGCACCTGCATTAGTAAGGCAGAGCCTTGTTTTTCCACAAAAAAGCTTCTGACCCATCGGTGCTGCTGCCCACTGGTCCCTCCCTGTGGCCTGGAGACCCTTGGGATCACTGGTCCCCAGCCCACAGCTTGGTCCAGGCTCAGGGCCGTGTCCCCAGCACTCCCTCGCCTGGAGGCAGATGCCTCAGCAGTGGCTCTGGTGTAAAGTCTCTTGCCCAGGAAAGGTTTGCTAAGGAGAAACCTTGGCACCTCGACCTCAGTTCCAGCCACGAGGCTGTGGAAATGTCAGAGGAAACTCCTAAATTGCCCTGTCATGTGGGATTTGGAGGGCTTTGCCATTTAAAAACTCTGCTTTTAAGCACCATATGTGTGAAAAATTCACACAACGAGACCTTATCGTTAAGTCTTTTATTGACCCTCTTCCTCTCAGACCATGTCCTCCTCCATCAAAATCGAATCCGTCGTGAAGGAGAAGAACAGGATGGGAGAATGCCCAGTCTGGGAAGAAAGGGAGACTGCACTCGTCTATGTAGACATCAACTCACAGAAAGTTTGCCGCTGGAGCCCACTCACCAACGAGGTGCAGAGCGTTTCCGTGGGTAAGAGTCCGTACTTACCGCTTAATCCTGGGAGTCTCCTCTGCCCGTCCCTGTCCATCCCTCCTGGTAGAAACCCTGCAGCATGGTGGCCTCCTTTACTTTCCATGGGGCCACACACCCTGTCCTCCCCCAACGTGTTGGTTAGCACAGCGTGGCCCGAGCCAGCCAAGCGGAGGGGACTGTACTCAAGTGTGGAGAGCCATGCACGTGTTGCCCTTGCTAAGCCCAGATGGGAAGGCATGTTTCATTTGGGACCTTCAGAGGAAAAGGTACAGTCCTAATGTCTGCCCAGAAGGTGGAAAGATCCGGAGAACACAGAGCCGGTGAGATGTGCTAACGATCCCAGGGGAGAAGGATCTTAGCATCAGCTCAGCCTTTCTTGGGTCAGGGATGTCCCAGTCAAGCCCAGGTGCCCTCGGTGAGCTGGGGAGGGGTAGGGCTGACTGATGGCCCCAGAGCTGCCCACCATCTCCCACTCCCTCTTGCCCGCAGACGCCCGTGTCGGTTCGGTGGCATTGCGGCAGTGTGGGGGCTACGTCATCGCCCTGGGGACCAGGTTTGCCTTTCTGGACTGGGATACTCAGGCAGTCACCACCATCGTCGAGCTCGAGCAGGACAAACCCAACAACAGGTTCAATGATGGGAAAGTGGATCCAAAGGGGAGGTTTTTTGCTGGTAAGTTCCTGGCAGATAATTTCCCCTGGAGCAAAGAGGATCTAATTACAGTGTATTTTATATATATTGCATTTTATTCCATGTTCTCGATTCCTCTGTTGAGTTCCCCACAAAAACCACCATTGCAAGCATGAGCTGCCTTGCGAGCGCTCTGCTCGGTTACTGCCTGATGGAGGAGGGTGAGGGACCCCGCATCCTCTGACCTAAACGAGGGCAGAGGCTGTTGACAAGGGCTGTCCGGCAGGAAAGCTCCCCTCCTACTTGGCAAGAGGGACTTTTGCCACCAGTTGCAATGTGGCTGGGATCCCCCCGTGCTTTTCTTCCCTCCCATATAAATGATGACCCAAGTGCAGCAGTCTGTGCTGGAAGTGGAGAGCGACTGATGGGAACGGAAATGGCTCTGTATTTGTTTTGCCAGCCAGCCCTTTCTTCTTATGTCAAATTTCCCCCAAAATTGGGAAATTCGGTTGACTCATGGTTATGCTCGAGGGCTAATGTGTCACTAGAGTTGAAGGGCAAGAACAAGAGAGAAAAACCTGCTTTGCACACCCATTCCTGGCTGTGCACGGTGGATCAGTGCTTTCAACAGGGGTTTTGGCCAAGCATTGTAAAACAAGGTCATGAGGTCTCCTAAAAGGAGAGGCCCACAGAGACGGTCTTGTCACAGTTAAAAGAAGGTGTAAATGCCCCCATTGAGCGCTTCCCGTTCCATCGCTGCAGAACTCTCTCCTTTCAAGAATCAGTAACTAAATAAAGAGCATAACACGGAGGCATAAATTCATTAAGAGAAAAATCTCACTTCTGTGGTATTCTGCACTTGCAGCTGAGATAACCGTGATTTACAGCACCTGTATTTTGAGGTCACAGCCCATTTAAATGATAAAAGTAGCCTACAAAGAGCAACAACACAAAGAGCACATTGATGCTCGCCTGCATCTCAGCTTTTGCTGTGAGTGACACCTCTGCCCCCGGCACATTGTGGTGCTCCTTTGGGTCTTTGGTGCCTACGACTTAAACCACATGGCAACACAGAAACTCATCCTTACGTTGGCCAGGATCACCTCTACGGGAGGCAGGTGCTCCTCTCCTGCTTCTTTCCCTCCTTCTCATCAGTCTGATGGGACTTGGTTAGGCTCTTTCCCCCTAGGACCTCTTAGCAACACTTAGAGGAGGTTTTTGATTAGGTATGAGGAACAAGCTTCTACTTTCTAACCGGCGCTCCCATTGCCGTTTCAGGTACCATGGCTGAAGAGACGGCACCGGGGCTCCGAGCGAGGCAGCAAGGCGCTCTCTATACCCTTTTCCCCGACCATTCGGTAATAAAACAGTTAGACCAGGTGGACATCTCCAATGGTCTGGATTGGTCCCTGGACCACAGGACCTTCTTTCACATCGACAGCCTGGCATACGCTGTGCATGCCTTCAGCTATGATGTGCACACTGGAAAGATCGGTACACGCGCTTTTCTAAATTCGGTGACAAGTAGTGCTGTTACTCTTCCTGCAGCAAGACCTGGGCGTGTAATATGCAGTGATTTATTTGACAGAGCTCGTATCTTTTGGTTGCGGCTTGTCAGCAGGCCGACTGGGATTTTTCTCAAGTTTAGTTATAAGCCAGGTGTATTTGGTGAACAAACTTTTGACAGCCCTTCAACTTACTTTCATCTGGATGGATGGCTTATGTTTAGACCCGTTCAAGGAGTTGCAGGGAAGAAGCCATTTATACCACTGAGTGAGAATTAGTTTATAGGATGCTATTTATTCTCGAGTGCCATCTACTGGAATGCTTCGATCGTACTAGCTCTATAAATACAAGTACAGCATGCGCATGCATGTACATCACAGAAATGTATTTGAAGACTCAAGTCATCATTGTGACCCAAGTTTCCCAATTCTGAAATTAAAATTGCCTACAGATATTTGGCAAATTTCACTTAAATTCATTTTCTGGACAAACATTTTTCTGTTATAATATCTACAAAAAGGAAATTTAAGTGCAAGCAAAAGGGATGCAACTTCATTTCCAAACTCCGTGAAATGTTTTTGTGCTGTACCAACCCGTCATACTCCGTGGGCATTTAAGTGGCTGAACTGACTTTGTACCCTAACCAGTGTGGACTTTGTGTAATCATGGGTGAAAATCGTACAAATAATGACAGTTACTCAGATTTCGTTTTGCTGAGGAAATCTATTTCTACAGATTTTAGGAGATAAGACTTCTAAAGAAGATTTAACGCTAATTTTTCTCCTGCACATACAAAAACGTAACGAGTTGGAGTTTCCTGGCCCTGGCTTTATGTTGGTGGCTGTCTGGTTTTGGGGGGTGTAATGGCCATGGGGTGGTGGGGCAGAGCAGGCAGACTGCTGCCCGGGGGCACCGCTCCACTGTCTGTGCGTGGGCCCAGCGACCTGTCCCCGCTGCAGCCTGGACTGCTGGCAGTTGACATCCAGACTTAACCAAAACTGGTAGCTTGATTGGCCATTAAAATAAGTAAAGTTCTTGATCTTTTAGCCATGAAAGACTGTTTATTACCAACATTTAAATTCAAGTCATTACTTATGGGATTTATTGCTCGTAAAAAGCCATCCAGGCTGCCATGAGCAATGAAAGTCCAGGAAAAGTTACTGTGCTTGCGACAGTTGTGGTATGGTGGTCAGCTGGTGCGTTACCACGAGGGACAGAGGCATTTTGTTCTCTTCCTTGCTAAAATAATAGGAGCCCTAATTCAGTACAATCCCAAACCGCAATGGCTCTAACCAGGGGCTTGTTTCTGCCAGGCTAAGTTAGGTTTTTAACTCATCTGCTAAATGCATATGCAATATAAAATTTGCAGCATGTCTTTGTCACAGAAAGTGAATTTATCTCTTTCCAAGAGCATGAAGGATGTTAGACTGGGATCTGATACAGAATTGCTACCAGCCCACGTTAACACCGGCTTCATAACTCTCCCTGCAGCCTGCCCCAAACTTTTGTACCATCTAGAAAAGGAGGAGCAAATGCCTGACGGGATGTGCATTGACGCAGAAGGGAAGCTCTGGGTGGCCTGTATTGATGGCGGCAGAGTCATTCGTATAGACCCAGAGACAGGTAAGGTCTCCACCAGCACGTGCGTATTGAATGTCGCGAGAGGAAAGGCAGCCAGGAGGAATGGTTTGAAGGTGAGATAAGAAGGTGTCGTTTATCACCCATCTCTGCCCTAGGGGTTGCCATGAGCATCGCTGGTCCAGGCCCCGATCACATGGGGAGTGCTGCTCCCCATGCTGCCTCCCAACATCGAGTACCCCTGCTCCCACGGTCTGCTGATGCCGCACACCCACTTCTTAATAACGTCACTTGAAAAAACCAACAAACCCACAACACTGCATATCTATTGCGAGAAACATTGTAAACCTGCAAATAAAAAAGAAAAAATTCTCAGCGTTGAAATGTTTTAACTAGGAAAGGCTGTTAGGGCATGACAGCCATCCCAGGCCCAAGCGTCTCTGCCTTTCCTGGCTTCAAATACTTTATTGTTTCATTATGAGAAAAAGGAAACAAAGCCTCGCAGATACAGGGGGGAGGCTGAAAAATAGTTAGAGACGAGGCAGATGAAAGAATTTTGTTTCCCCACAAACCGTCCTTCAGGATATGGCCTGCCTGAAGGGGAGGTGCCTTCTGCGTAAATGCCAGAGCTTCGCCATGTGCACTAATAGTACATTCATATTTACATCTTTCCTAGAAAATGGACTTGAGGAAACGATCACATATTTTTTTCCAGGAAAAAGAATCCAAACTGTGATGCTGCCTACTCCGAGGATCACCTCTTGCTGCTTTGGTGGAAAAGACTACTCAGAAATGTACGTGACTTCTGCATATGACGGACTGGATGAGACCACCTTAGCCAAGGAACCTCACGCGGGAGAGATTTTCAAGGTGAGCAGATTTTATTTCTTTCTATACGTCAGACCTGCCAAGCCTTGCACTTGGGAGGGTGAGGTAGCCCCCAGCTGCCCTTGCTCATCCTGCTCACCTGATGCACTGGTCCAGATACGTTGCTCATCCCCTGGCTGGGCACAGCTGCTTTTGCATGGCTGCTCATGCATTTGGAAGGAAGAAGAGCAGAAATTTCTAGCAATAGTGTTGCTATGTTGGTTAGCCAAAGTTGATATCCGCCCGGGATCTGAAGGCAGCCGGTGGATCTGGGTCTGCCCTGTATAGCATATTCTGTAACACACTGTGAGGAATTGGGTCTTGATCCTATATCTTCTATACTTTCATCAGTCTTGGAAATGTCACTCCCTTAATTCTCATCTTTTAATTGTACCAGGGTATCTAAATATTCACCAGATTTCTCTTTTAAAAAATAAATGCTTAAATTCACCAAAGCTTTGCATCCCAATCCCATAACTTTTTGAAATTTTTTTTTAGTCTGTTAAAAGTGGGTGCTATGTTTTGAATAACTAATAACCCACATTTTCGTCCAAGGCTCTTGAATCCAAAACTTGTTTCTCTCTTCATTTTTCAGTCCATTAGTAAAAACTACATTGGGAAAATAAAATGCGGTTCTGAAACAGCAATTGCCATCATTCTCTGAAGGTTGACCATAGCATGAAAGGGAAGGGTGGTAAATGAGAGGAAATGGGATAAACCAAACTGCATTATCAGTTTGGTAATAGGATGAAGACATGTTCTAGGAAGGATGGGGATCTAATCTGGGATCGGGGACCTTCTAGTTAAAAGCATTGCTTGGAACAGATTTCCCATGACCAACAACTGATCAATTTTTCAAGCAGCGGAGTTTAGGAGCCCACAGGAGTTAAATACCAAAAGATAATTTTGAGCCTTGCCTTTTTTATCTCTCTTCCTCAGTTCTCCAGTTCTAGAAGGAAATTGGTATTTTGCAAACTCACATCTGTCTTAGAATCATAGAATCGTTTAGGTTGGGAAAGACCTTTAAGATCATCAAGTCCAACCATTAGGTACTTAGCACTGCCATCCCACCACTAAACCATGTCCCTAAGCACCTCGTCTGCCTGTCTTTTAAATACCTCCAGGGGTGGGGACTCAACCACTTCCCTGGACAGCCCGTTCCAGTGCTTGACAACCCTCTCTGTGAAGAAATTTTTCCTGATGTCCAACCTAAACCTGCCCTGGCGCTACTTGAGGCCATTTCCCCTCATCCTATCACCTGGGAGAAGAGACTGACCCCCACCTTGCAAAACCCTCCTTTCCAGGCAGTTGTAGGGGGTGATAAGGTCTCCCCTCATGCATGGGCAAAGCGCATTAAAAGTTGCTATGACTTACTTGGTTAATACAGAGATAAGGACCACATGTAAGGGCCACAGATAATGTGTAAATTAGCAACATCATTGAGTGGTGCTTGGTAATCTTGGAGATTGTAAAGAGTTCTAAAGAACTCCATAGAATGACTCTTTTGGGGCTCCTCTTGAAATAGGGGTAGGTTGCTATGACATTTGTTGTACAACATTTGAATGTTGTACTCAGTTGGAGATTTATCTCTTTCCTTTCTTTTATTCTTTATTTTTTTAAACAGATAACAGGCCTGGGTGTGAAAGGCATCCCACAGAATTTCTATGCTGCTTGAACATTGATGCTAAATAACAAAGAAGAAATGCTTGCATCTTGTAGTAATTCTGACAAGGAGAAGTCCAGTGAACTGCAGAATTTATCTGTGTGAGGATTTCTAAATCCACATTTAAGGGCGTGCTTGTTTGGAACTGAAGATACTCCTTCTTCTGTGGGCCCGTGGCATGATGCAATAGGTTAGAGAGGTAAAGTTAACCTGTGTTACACCTCAATAGCTTTTGTGACTTTCCATAAACCTCTTCAAGCTCAAGCTTAATTTTGTTGAACTTTCTGATGACCAGCTCTGGATTTTCAAGTCGGTGATTCTCAAAGCAGAATCTTACTCCTGGTTTGTCTTTTCATGTTACAGTGATGTACCAGCAATGATACGGCAGAAATTAATAAACATTTTAAGAGTGGTGACTTGAACTGGACTGCTCCTCTGCTGTGGGACTCCCCCCAAGGTGTTTTATTGGTGATCAGACTTACTCATAGTGTCCAGACTCCATTTTTACATCCAAAGCGTCTTTCCATTTGCCTTGTCATGAATTCTTCTACCTTGTCTTTAGGACACCATTTATGCTGTTGAAGATAAACTATGCAGCCGTATTTAAAATATGCTTATGGATTTTTTTTTTCCCCTGCATTCAGATATTACCACGAAGATGCTGAGTGTCCACACATGGTCAGGGTACAAACAAGCTGTGAGCTACCAGGATGGCCTGTCATACTGAAAACCAATGGTCCATAGAGTCATCCTGTCAGGGGTCATATTTGCACATAGACACATGGACTTCCCTTTGCTTTCTATGTCTTCTTATTGGATGTATGGCTTCACTTTCTTATTGCATGCATGACTTCTCTCTTCCTTTCCTGTTTCAAATCTTCTTCTCCTTTTTCCCTTTTGATTTCCCTTCCCTTCCCTTCCCTTCCCTTCCCTTCCCTCCCCTTTTCCCTCCCCTTTTCTCTAATCTTTCCTGAGTTTAGTCTCTGAACTTCGAGTAACCTCACTTGTTGTCAGCTTTCTTCTGTCTCTTTGTGGTCCATATTGCTCAGTACTGAGTCTGAAGACCTTGTCCCTGCCTTCAGTGCTGTATATCGGGTTTCTTGCTGCATTACCCTCACCTCCTCTTTCTTCTCTGGGAGGGCAAATCTGGCCTATTGACATTTCTCCCTTTGCCCAAAATGTGCAGGGTTTCCTCCCACACCAGTGACTACACCCGAGCTGACCCTTGAATTTGGGGTTTCCCCGAAGGCCTCAGCATATGAGCAGTGAGCCAGGTCCTGGCCAGACTGAGAGGGTGAGCAATGGAAGTGGAGAAGTTGCTCACTTCTTCCAGCTGCTTCTCCTGGATGGTCTGCAGACAGGGTAGAAATAGCGTCCTGCGTGTGAGCAAGTCAAAGGCACTTGGGAAAATGCTGACAGACGAGCCTGTGTAAAAACAGAGAGTGCTATGGAGGGGGTCTCTTGCTGTTCCCTGGCGTGTCCCAACACAACTATCCTTGACTCCTACAACTTCACAACCTTTGGTTAATTTTCCAGTGAGCAGGAGCTGATTATACCACAGTGGTACAGAAAGCACTATGTCAAGGTGTATTTTTACAGGCTATTTAAATAATTGACCCAACACTACGCTGGATTCACTGAAACTTTGTGATCCTTTCAGTCCAAGCTGGGGCAGCAGCTTCTGTCCTGTTGGAGGATACAGCTCCATGGGAACTTACTTGATCTCAGGAGGAGCTCCAGAATCTGTTTCTAAGAAAAGCCTAGTGCACATGCAACCACTCCTCATTGAATCAACTCTTTCTAATCTGTCTTTTGTTTGTATTTCTCTAGTTATTTTCTAGGGAAAGGTTGGCTTTAATTATGTGAGAATGCTGAAGACCTGTAGATATGCAGTGAAATCTAGCCTTTGCATTGAATTTGCTATCTTTTTACTGCCTGGAAAGATACACAGCACTAAATGCATCTTCAGATCCTTAATGCTGTTACACTTTGTGACGTTACAAGGAGGTCAATAATACTCACCACTTACCAGACCAGATGTTTCAGTGTCTTTCTCGGAGGTATTTGGCCTTTCCACCACCTCTATTCAAAGCCTTGAGTTAGCTCTCAAGACACTATGAGCAGGGAATAAGTACTCGATGCCTCATGAGGCTAATCTCCCACAATAACAGATGCAGGGAAGAGCAGAGAAACTGTGGTTAACCATTCAGAAATGTTAAACACAGTTCCCATGGGGCTGTATGCAGACTATCCCTAGAATTAGCTGTTTTCTTCAGAACCAACATCCCTCTCCTGGCAAGGGGGCACTTTTGAAAGAACCAAGCTGGGTTGATTTCTTCCTTTTAAAATATCCATAATGCCCAACTCTCTTATGTGGTAGCCTTCTGGCCTGCCAACATGCAGGAGATCTGGTTCTGCACTCTGATCAGACAGAGGGCAGGTCAAGCCATGTGTCCCAGGGCAATGTCCTACCCATTTTGAAGGGGGGGAGGTGGGTGGTATATTTGGCCCCTCTGGATGAACTGGGCCACAGTCCAGAAAGAAATTTGAGATCCAGAGGGCCAAGAAGGGAGCTTAATTCACTAAGCATTATTGAATATACTTGGCCATTGAACAGGATTTTCCAAAGTGCATTATTTCAATGCAGTTACCTGAAGTCTACTGTAAAACCCACATTAGGTACTTTTTGGACAGTGATTCTAGATGTTTAATTTAGGTCATTAGCAATTACCTTGCTCCTGTGCTACTTGACCAGTTGATTGGTAAAACAGGATAAAAGCTCTTGCTCCATTGCTCTGCTTCACTCCTACCTTGCCCTGGAAGGGGGGTGAGTCCATACCACTGCCCAAAGACACCTTGATTGAGAAATAAAACGTTCGGCTCATTCTAATGTTTGTCAACAACCAGGCTGTTGTTTTTTTCCCTAGTCATAATTCCAATAGTAATTAAGCTGCTGGGGGTTCTTAAGAGCAAAGGTGTTAAATGCCCACTGGCACCATGTCAATGCCCAACTGGTATAAGGAACATCGACAATTATGCAAGATTTCCTGTTTACCCAGTCTGGAGAGGAATGTGAAGGCAGGATGTCTGGAGGCAAGTCAAATGCCCTAACCTATAATTAAAAAAAAAAAAGTAGGAAGTGTGTGCAGATACTTTGTTTAATAAAAAATACCCAATTATTTGCAAAATTGCCTATCCACTAGGCTATTTGCTCTGCCACAAAAGGGAAGTAGATAGTTTTGAAACAATCTGCTCTTGAGAAATTGTTAATACCCTCATAATTTTTTTTCTAGTGCTTCCCCAGGCATGCAAGCCAGGCTCACTGGTTTGTAATTCTCCAGCCACTCCTTCCCCCATCTCTAAAGGGAGATACTGTGCGTGCTGCTCTCAGACTCCAAGGTCTGAGCGCTTTGGAATCTCTCCCATCGCAGCATGGCTTCCCAAACTAAAGAAAGATTTGAAGATTAATTTCTCTCTGTTGCCCAAAGGTCCACTACTTCACTTCTCTTCACATTTCAGAACTTACTATTTTGTTATTTTTGCTTCCTAAAAACAAGTGTTGACTGAAAACCTCCAGCCTCATTAACCAAAGTAAGGCAAAAGGCCTTTGCCTTGAGCAGGACGGAGGCATGAAGGAAGGGGGTGTGGGACTGGGTTCATACAATACGGTACCTATAGCCCTTGGTGAAGATGCACTCTGAGATGGTTACTGGGTGACTGAGTACGTGGTTAGTGTGAGTCAACCCCACACAGTGAGATGCACAGCAGAGAGGATGCTACCTGGCCAGGGGTAACCTGCTGATGGGGTATCTCCCCAACGTGGGTCATAGGCAGAACATAAAGGAGCTTGTCAACAGGATGGCAGTGACTGATGGGGGCTGGTTTCCCTTGTGAGGGGTTACTGTGTACATCCTGCCTTTTATAAGCTTTCCTAAGTATTTGCTACGTTTAGTGGACACTACTATGTTTAATGTGTACCAAGCTCAATAAATCTTAGTATTCTTCTATGCTTTTTATGTATGGGGGTAATAGGCTTTCAGCTGGGAAGATTTTGGTTTGTGTTTTCTAGCTCTTGTGGGACAACCTGACTGCCTTTTCTTGCCTTCCCGAAGAAACATGACTGAGAAAACCTATCACAGAATCACAGAATCGTAAGGGTTGGAATTGAGAAAACCTATTCAACCTAAACTGAGGGTTTCCAAATATTCGTAAGTGCAGCCAGGATGTGAATGAAGCTGGTTCAATGTTGCGGCTGTGCTGGCATTGCTGCTGCACCCACGTGCTGTCACAGGCCTGAAGTTGGCAAATACAAGGATGTAGGGTTTGCTCCACTGGATTTTACTGTTGTAAAACTCTAGGCAGAAAAGAAGATGTAAAAATATTCCTTAATCCTGGATAAGCAGACACAATATTTTTTCTGGCAAACTTTGTTTATCTATTTATTGTTCTGATTCTCTACTTCGTCTTAAGAAGAAGCTGTAAAGATGGTCTTTTTGGCTAATGAGAGAGGGGATGGACAAAAAGTAGCTGATTTTAAATAAAAAGTTCACAAGAGCTACCTGCCGTGGGTAAATAGGTCCCTGGCAGAATAAAGAGGTAGCTGCCCTGCTGAAATGACCTGGCTTTGCATAGTTTGTTTATTTTACCTTGGCCCTATCATGCTCCACACTCAATTCAGTGTCACACTCACAAACAGAACTCTGAATCCAGATCTTTGCTATCTTCTTGCTGTTATCTCTCTGTGTCAATGTGGATTGAGATTTCAGTGGGTAATAATGCAGAGCCTACAAAGGACAGACATTGAAGTTTGACCCTCTATTCACGTGAAAAAACCCTTGGAAAACGAGAATCCACTTGCTCTATGAACTATTAACAAGATTACTGGATGACCTGCGGGGTGACTTTGGTCAGCAGATGGACCTGACTGGGAAAATGGCTGCAGGAGGAAGGGGCTTCTCCTTGGGAGGTGTATGAGCAGGAACTGGGTGTCCTATAAAGAATGGCTGAGGGGC